GCAACAGTCTCTATGTTTGAGCTCTTTTCCCTCGGGGGTAGATGGCAGTGTGCATTTCGTGTTTCTTTTACAGTCCTCCTTCGTTCCATTGTTCTTCCTATGGCAAGTTTTTTGTTGTTGAATTTTGGTATTTTTATTTCTTATACAGGTATCATTTAAGTGATCACATGGGTCCTTTCGAGGTAGTTGTAATTCGTTAACGGTCTGGGGCTGGAGGGGGGGACCTTTCGAATGTGGAGGGGGGAGTAGTGATTCTTCAATTGTCCCTGTGTGTAGTCGCTTTGTGCGCGCTGCGCCCTGTTCGGGCGGTCCGGAAAGGGTAGCGGTGGGGCCATGCCTTCGCTCTTCCTCTTGGGGTAGGTATCGTCCAGGTGATCTCACACGCCCCTCCCGAATAGATATAGTTCGTCGGCAGTCCAAAGCCGAAGGGCAAGCCATTCGGTCGTGGGTGGAGGGGGGTGGAGGCTCCCCGCCCGTCGCCACCCCCAGCTGTCCGGCGCGTCTCCTGCTATGAGTGATCGATCCGGGGGGAAGGTTAGCAATAGAGTCGTGATCTGTTTGGTCTTTGCAGCGTCCTTCCTCGCTACAAGTAGGTATAGATCGTCGGCAGTCCGAAGCCGAAGGGCAGGCCATTCGGCCATGGGTGGAGAGGGGCGGAGGCTCCCCGCTCGTCGCTACCCCCAGCTGTCCGGCGCGTCTCCTGCTGCGGGTGATCGGTCCGGAGGGGAGGGTAGCGATAGAGTCGCGATCTGTTTGATCTTTGTAGCATCTTTCCTCGGCTTGTCTCCTCCTCCCTGCGTCGTCGGTGGTCATACGGATCCTCCGAAGCTCTCCGGGATACGCAAGCGGGGGGAACGGTGGCTTGATCTCTTGAGTTCTTTCTCCTTCTTGCGGTTTCCTCTCTCCTAACTTGGTCCCCTTGATCCAGCGGGGGGCTCTCTCTTTTCTTTCTGACATGACTGGCACGTTTCCTTCCATATGCAGGTGGGTTGCCATATCTAAGGGTCTCCCCCCTCCTCCAACCGCGATGTCTTCCTTAGTACATTTCGAGTATCTATATCTTCCTTAATGCCATTAGAGTTATTACTGGAACGTCGGGGGTGCTGTCCTTGATTACTAGTGCTCCACAGCCTTAAAGCCATATATGCCGGGCACAGGTCCACATGCCGGTTAATAGAATTGTCATCCGAGAGCCATGCCTCCTTAAGTAGGCGGCCCCCCTTGGTATTGTCGCTAGCCAATACGCTGACCTCACTGAAATTAAATGTGTGATCTAGTTCCGCCATGTGTGCCCATATTTGAGAATGTGGATCTCCCCTTCTTACTGCTAACTTATGCTCGTGGACCCTGGTTTTAATCCGTTTGGCTGTCTCCCCAACATAGTTGGATCGGCAGTCCATACAATTGATCTTATAAACGGCTGCCGACCTTTCAGTGTTGGGGAGCGGGTCCTTTGGGCGCATTACAGCTGCCCGCAGTGTTTGGTTGGGTCTATGGGCCACTTGTATCTTGTGCGGTGCTAAAATCCTTGCAGTGGCCTCTGAGACGTTGTGGATATAGGGGAGAGTAATACGTGTGGTTACTTGGGATGTAAGTCTTTGGGGTGTGGGGTCACTCCGGGGTCCAGATGGTTTGTTGAACCGATTGATAAATTTGGCCGGGTACCCATTGTGTTTACACACCCGGAAGAGATAATTTCTCTCCTCCCTCTTGGCTCTGGCAGTGCTGCAGTGCGACTCCACTCGCTTGAATAAGGTCCTGACACAGCTGGCTTTATGAGCCATGGGGTGATTGCTCTCAAAGTGTAACATCCTGTCTGTACATGTGGGTTTTCGGTATACCTTGGTAGTCAGACATCCGTCCACCTGGCGCTGTACTAACACATCTAAAAACGCTAAACTGCCCTGGTGTTCCTCTTCCATGGTGAACTGGATGTCTGGGTATACCGAATTCAGGATGTTCATAAAGCCAGTCTTGTGCCGCTCCTTGATGACCGCAAACGTATCGTCCACGGAAGACCTTATAAAATTAATGGGGGTCTGCCTTAACACTTATTTCACCTTTCAGGGCACGACATACGAACAGATTAAGGGAACTCCCATGGGGTCGCCGATCTCCAGCGTGATCGCAGAGGTGGTGCTCCAGCGACTGGAACACATAGCGTTGGCCCAATACCAACCAAAATTTTGGGCCCGCTATGTGGACGATACGTTTGCGGTCATCAAGGAGCGGCACAAGACTGGCTTTATGAACATCCTGAATTCGGTATACCCAGACATCCAGTTCACCATGGAAGAGGAACACCAGGGCAGTTTAGCGTTTTTAGATGTGTTAGTACAGCGCCAGGTGGACGGATGTCTGACTACCAGGGTATACCGAAAACCCACATGTACAGACAGGATGTTACACTTTGAGAGCAATCACCCCATGGCTCATAAAGCCAGCTGTGTCAGGACCTTATTCAAGCGAGTGGAGTCACACTGCAGCACTGCCAGAGCCAAGAGGGAGGAGAGAAATTATCTCTTCCGGGTGTGTAAACACAATGGGTACCCGGCCAAATTTATCAATCGGTTCAACAAACCATCTGGACCCCGGAGTGACCCCACACCCCAAAGACTCACATCCCAAGTAACCACACGTATTACTCTCCCCTATATCCACAACGTCTCAGAGGCCACTGCAAGGATTTTAGCACCGCACAAGATACAAGTGGCCCATAGACCCAACCAAACACTGCGGGCAGCTGTAATGCGCCCAAAGGACCCGCTCCCCAACACTGAAAGGTCGGCAGCCATTTATAAGATCAATTGTATGGACTGCCGATCCAACTATGTTGGGGAGACAGCCAAACGGATTAAAACCAGGGTCCACGAGCATAAGTTAGCAGTAAGAAGGGGAGATCCACATTCTCAAATATGGGCACACATGGCGGAACTAGATCACAAATTTAATTTCAGTGAGGTCAGCGTATTGGCTAGCGACAATACCAAGGGGGGCCGCCTACTTAAGGAGGCATGGCTCTCGGATGACAATTCTATTAACCGGCATGTGGACCTGTGCCCGGCATATATGGCTTTAAGGCTGTGGAGCACTAGTAATCAAGGACAGCACCCCCGACGTTCCAATAAGAACTCTAATGGCATTAAGGAAGATATAGATACTCGAAATGTGGTGACCAATACTAAGGAAGACATCGCGGTTGGAGGAGGGGGGAGACCCTTAGATATGGCAATCCACCTGCATATGGGAGGAAATATGCCAGTCATTTCAGAAAGACAAGAGAGAGCCCCCCGCTGGATCAAGGGGACCAAGTTAGGAGAGAGGAAACCGCAAGAAGGAGAAAGAACTCAAGAGATCAAGCCACCGTTCCCCCCGCTTGCGTATCCCGGAGAGCTTCGGAGGATCCGTATGACCACCGACGACGCAGGGAGGAGGAGACAAGCCGAGGAAAGATGCTACAAAGATCAAACAGATCGCGACTCTATCGCTACCCTCCCCTCTGGACCGATCACCCGCAGCAGGAGATGCGCCGGACAGCTGGAGGTAGCGACGAGCGGGGAGCCTCCGCCCCTCTCCACCCATGGCCGAATGGCCTGCCCTTCGGCTTCGGACTGCCGACGATCTATACCTACTTGTAGCGAGGAAGGACGCTGCAAAGACCAACCAGATCACGACTCTATTGCTAACCTTCCCCCCGGATCGATCACTCATAGCAGGAGACGCGCCGGACAGCTGGGGGTGGCGACGGGCGGGGAGCCTCCGCCCCCCTCCACCCACGACCGACTGGCTTGCCCTTCGGCTTTGGACTGCCGACGAACTATATCTATTTGGGAGGGGCATGTGAGATCACCTGGACGATACCTACCCCAAGAGGAAGAGCGAAGGCATGGCCCCACCGCTACCCTTTCCGGACCGCCCGAACAGGGCGCAGCGCGCACAAAGCGACTACACACAGGGACAATTGAAGAATCACTACTCCCCCCTCCACATTCGAAAGGTCCCCCCCTCCAGCCCCAGACCGTTAACGAATTACAACTACCTCGAAAGGACCCATGTGATCACTTAAATGATACCTGTATAAGAAACAAAAATACCAAAATTCAACAACAAAAAACTTGCCATAGGAAGAACGATGGAACGAAGGAGGACTGTAAAAGAAACACGAAATGCACACTGCCATCTACCCCCGAGGGAAAAGAGCTCAAACATAGAGACTGTTGCAACCATAGAGACATTTGCCCGCCCACCTCAAGATTGAGGGAGAGAAGGATGGAGGAGGATGAACGGGCGGTTGAGATGAATAGAAAGGAACAGACCAGCCGCACGCAGTTATCCTATTTAGGCCCGATGACGAGGTCGAGGAGTCGGGTGCGCATACTCACCACACCTATTGAAGAATGGCCACTCCCCCCCCACTCCCCTGCTTCACTATCCCCTGGAAGGATCTGGCAGGTTACGGGCAGGGGGGGGGGGGAGAAAAAAAAAGTAGGCGCTTTTTAATAATTGATTCATAGGTTTATTACCCTGGTGAATCATTTTATTTCCTATCATATCTATATATATATATATAGATATAGATATATATATATAGTATATATGCATAGTATAGCTTTGCTAACAAAGAATAAAGACAGAGAACTGTTATACAGCTATTTCGAGTTCCGTTCCATTCAGGTAAATATGAACAAAGTATATATATTATATATATATATATATATATATATATATATATATATATATATATATATATCAGGTGTTCATTTCATAAAGTCTTGTGCTATAAAAGCTTCTGGTTCACTTGCTTTTCTTAAGTTAGGTGGGGGTTTTCTTGAAGAATTCTTTGCTGATGGAAATCAAACATGATTAATTGTAGCTGTCCATAGCTATTAGGTTACAGCTAGAAATGTGACTAGGGAAAACATAACTGCAAGAAAATTCATGTTTTCTATAATTATTCACAGTTAAATTAACAAAGTTTTAATATGCTTATTTATTAAAAGGGTGAACCGGGTTTCCTAGGTCCACAGGGAGAACCTGGATTGCCAGGATTGCCAGGGACAAAGGTACAATATACATTTTTTCCTTATTACACACAATTTGCTCTGTATCAGATCAGTTGGAGCCTAATCGTTGGAATAGACATTTCCTTCCACAACCATTAAAGTCTTATTAAAGAGAAAGTTTATCAGACTGAGATCACAACTCAACCCATTACAAATGTGTAATGTGTGTAAAATAAATTAATTAAATTAAACCACTATGAATTCTGTAGGAAATGATGCAAGTGTGATTATTTTATATACATTCTTAATTGTACAACCGAGACTTCATCTCATTTTTTTTTTAAAAAAAGAGGGACCGTATTGCCTAAAGCTTCTTTTATTTTGTGAAACCAGTTGGAGTTACCAATACCTAAAACTAAAACCAATAAATGAAAGTTGGACAATTTAAATATGGGAAGCATTATCTGTTTTGCCTCTTTTTTCCACCTGTAATTATTCCTATTTTATCCATAATGTTCAGGGATTTTTTACTTTTGACAAATCAGAAGGAGAAAAAAAACATATATAATGGCACTGTAATCTATTCACACTCTCCTCAGAAGAGGTTTGTACTAATGTATGTATTGATCAATTGCCAGTTTGACATACTCTTTGATATTACTTCTGTTTGATGTTTCAACAGCAACTCTCATCAATATCAAAAGTTACTGATGTTTTATGATGCTTCTGTGTGTATGTGCTATGATTTTTAACAGGGTGAAAGAGGAGAAGTAGGAGCTCCTGGGAAAGGTGAACGAGGTGAGCCTGGAGCTCCAGGGCTAAAGGTCAGTTTGGTTTCACTTTGAAATATTTAGAGGGCCTTTGAGAACTCTGTGTTTAGCTCATTTTTTAAAGACATCCTTTGTTTCAGGATGTTAAATAGAACCAGAAAAATCAATTTCATTGTGATTGAGGATGTATTCCAAGTTATTTAAATATATGTCATTCATTTTTACCACATAGTCCAGTCAAAGTTAATTAAACAAATGGAGAAGTTTCATATTAATAATAAAAAATGGATGCTATGCAAATATTACTTATAGTCATACTTAATGGGAATTAAAGTGCTTTAGAGATAACAAGTAAATAAAAGTATAACAAAATTCTGATTTCTAACTATAAGGTTGGAGTGCTCATAGGCGAAACTTTAAACAGATTTCATCATTTAAAGTAGAATTTTCAAAATTCTATATGGTTAGTAATTGTGTCTAAGACAGACACAGAAGGGAGGGAGGGAGGGAGGGAGGGAGGGAGGGAGGAAGGAAGGAAGGAAGGAAGGAAGGAAGGAAGGAAGGAAGGAAGGAAGGAAGGAAGGAAGGAAGGAAGGAAGGAAGGAAGGACCTTTAAAATTGTACTTTGCGGAGCAACTCAACTGATTTTCTAGGTTTTCATTAGCAATTTAAAATCTATGCATAATAATGTCCTGCTTTATATGAGATGATCCTACATCATAGATAAGACCAAAGAGTTAGTGATAAGATGGGTGGCTATATAAATATTTTAAATAAATAAATGTTTTAGCTGATCTTTGGAACAAAACTGTAGTGAAAATAGAATCTGATGGATTTTGCTCACCTTCTACTGTAGTGACTGCATGGATATTTCTATGCAATTTTCTTGGCAATAATATGAAAGTGATCTATCATTACTTTCTTCCACAATGTTTTTCCAATTCCCAATTCAGCTGGTAGCCTGGGAATTAATGGTGATCTCCTATCTAAGTACTTAACTGATCCAGCCCTCTCTAGGTGTCCAGAATGTAGTATGCTTCTGCAGGATCTTCCCCTTTCATCAGAATGATACATGTTCCTCTTCTTTTGTACATTAATATGATGTCACAACCTGTGAACAAAAGGAACAGAGCTTACATTGTATCAATACAATGCTGTTTTCATCATTTGTTCCCTTTGACCCCATCAAGCGAAATGCTTCTGACTAGGTGTCAAATTCTTTGTGCATCAGTGAATTCTCCCCAGTGTTTTACCAAGAAATTCAGATTGAGGGACTATTTGAATTTTAAAAGGAATAAGAACAGAAAATGGAGACTTAACAAATGTGATTTCATACAGCATACCTAAACATTTTCCAAAATACTTCAAAGTGTCTTTTTATTTGATTTCTACTATTTGTGACATTTGTTTCTATAATTGTGCATAACTGTGTATGTGAGTTTCTTGATTCCAGTACATTCAGAAATTCTATTGATATTTTTATTAAATCTTTTGCATGATCTGGAAGAAGGCCATTTTTGTTTAAGAACATAAGTTATTGATAAGAAAGAGCACTAAAGTATTGGTTTGTAAGTTGCCAGAGGTGAATTCTCATTTCTAAGGCAATGTAGGAAAGAAATGATTGACTCAAACAAATATTTTCAGCTTACAAATTGTATATCTGACATCTTCACTTAGAAGTCATAGGATATTTTTCAGGGAGTTGAGGAAATAATATTCCACGGAACATGTACAAAACACATTCAGATTTTCTTCTAATAATCCTCTTGTGTTAAATCATCATAACATGCATGATTACTCAACTTCTTATATATACATTTGTCTCTGTAGTGTAACTTTATAATAGCAACTATTTTAATATGCATAGTTTCTTCTACACATTTACATCCTATAGACAAATCTAATTCTTCATATTTCTCTTTTTACTTTTTCTGTCTCCTCTCCATTTTGTATGTGTTCCAACATGCAGGGGAGGTCAGGTGAATCTGGAACTAGAGGCCCTAAAGGGTCAAAGGTCAGTCATTAGCAACATCTGGTTTTATTGGTTAAGTACACTAAACCAACACAGTTATTTATTTACTGCCATTTTTGCATGTGTGAATTCTGTATGTGGATGGGGTGCTATGTATAGTAAGCACATGTCATTGTCTGTTTCTTTTACTAGAATGTTCAAAGACTATCAGTTTAAAAAGTAGTAAAATTATTTTCAGTAACTGAAAAGACAAAGTGTATATAACCCTTAGCTTTTCCTAGTGAAAGTTTTCACTCCCCAGTTAACTCCCTTTTCAGTTATTTCTGAGTTCTTTGCTATATAAGGTCCTGTCTTTTCTTCCAGTTCGTTGATTAGTACCACAGTTTAGTGCAGTATTTAGGTTTACACTAAAATTAAACGAGACATTACATACTATTTGACATTAGACATTAAGACTAGCAGTTAGAGGCAAAGCATGCTCTGAATGAAAAGTGAAAATGTTAAAAGTATGGAATAACTGAATTTTTTTTGACCTGAGGCAAAAAAGATGACAGAATAGATTTCTGATAACCTGCTTTCAGGAAGCCAGGGTTTTATTGCCAAAAAAGGTGCTACCATTAGATAAAGGACAGCTTTCTCTGATTATCTGAATTTTAAACATGGGAATAAATCTCCAGGTTTCCATTGTGTCTGGAAAAAACTGTCTGTTGGCATTTTTCTATAATAGATGCAAAATCCTTATTTTTAACAATTATATATCTGGTAAATTAGTAAAATTTTGAGGTAATCTTTGAATTTATCCCCATATATAATGCATTACAAAAGTCAATTATCATGGAAATTCGGTTTTGTCTGAAAATTTGTATATTACATCAGAACCTGTAATTATGTAATTACAATGAACAATTTTCTGAATTGGCCTTACTCTTTCAAACTGATGGCTATAGCTTTCTTGACAGGAAAGTATACAAAGAACTTTTTTTGGAAAATGCCTTCTGATGTCTTCTGGACATACAGAATTTTAAGTTTTAGCTAACAGTCCAGATTACAGTTGGTGGAGTAAATTCTAAGTATTGCAAACAAACATACCTGGGAGGCCCCAAATTGGAGGAAATACTTTGAGATATTCATTAACTCTAACCGTAACTTGAAGCATTTCTGACATTTTAATTGTTATGAATGTAAGCAATGTTTATTGTTAAACAGTCTTAGAACATAGAATAACATAAAATAACAGGGCTGAAAGGGACCTTAGAGCAGGGCTTTTCAACCTTTTCACCCATTGTACCATTTTTAGGATATGGCAATATTTGAGTGCCACTAGTCGCCTAGCAAGGTGTCAAAAACTTGATGACCCCCCCAAAAAAGGAAAAAAAGTGATAAAGTACAAGTAGTCCTCGACTTAAAACAGTTCGCTTAGTGACTGTTCGAAGTTACAATGGTACTGAAAAAAGTGCCCCCCAAGCCACAGCCGAGTAAGACACATGCCTGCCTGCCTGGCGGCGCTCTTCCTTCTGTCCGAGGTTTTCATTGTTGTGAGCATTTCTGTTGAGGGGGTGGGGTGGGGGGTGTTTGGTTTTTATTCCCCCTGTCTGCTGGGTGGTTGCAGAGGTTTTGGTCACTTCACATGACCCTGGGACACTGTGACCATCATAAACATGAATCAGTTGCCAAGCATCACAAGACCCTGGAGATGCTGCAACATTCCAGCTGATTGGCGCTTCTTCTGGGCTCAGCAGAAGCACCAGGATCAGTGCTGAGCTCCAGCTGGAGCCTACTGCTGATCCTGGCACTTCTGCTGAGCCCTGACAGCCCTGCAGCTCCAACCATCTCTCACTCAGGCTTATTTATTTATTTATTTATTTTCAAATATTTATATGCCGCCCAATCCCAAAGGACTCGGGGCGGCGTACAAAGTTAAAACAATCATAAAACAATAAAATAAAGCAGTCATACCACGAGTCCGATCATATCCCGGCCCCCCGGGGACATCAGTCCCAGGCCTGCCGGAACAGGAGGGTTTTAACGGCCTTCTTAAAGGCCGGCAGGGTGGGAGTAGTTCGAACCTCGGGGGGAAGTTGATTCCACCAGGTCGGAGCCACCACAGAAAAGGCTCTTCCCCGAGGGCCCGCCAGCCGACACTGTCTGGCCGACGGGACCTGAAGGAGGCCCAATCTATGGGACCTCACCGGTCTCTGGGAGCTGTGCGGCAGAATGTGGTCCTGTAAGTAACCTGGCCCTATGCCATGAAGGGCTTTGAAGGTGATAACCAACACCTTGAATTGCGTCTGGAGACCCACAGGAAGCCAGTGCAGCTCGCAGAGGATAGGTGACACGTGGGCGTACCTTGGCGCGCCCACAATCGCTCTCGTGGCTGCGTTCTGAACCAACTGCCGCCTCCGAACGCCCTTCAAGGGTAACCCCATGTAGAGCGCGTTACAGTAATCCAGTCTTGAGGTGACAAGGGCATGAATGACTGTGAGTAAAGCCTCCCGGTCCAAATAAGGCCGCAACTGGTGCACTAGGCGAACCTGTGCAAAGGTCCCCCTGGCCACAGCCGATAGATGTTGTTCCAGATTTAGCTGCGAGTCCAGGAGGACACCCAAGTTGCGTGCCTGCACTGAGGGAGGTAAATTTGCCCCCCCCCAGGACTAAAGATGGACCATCCAGTTGGCCTTTGGGAGGCAAGACCCAGAGCCACTCGGTCTTGTCAGGGTTGAGTCTAAGCCTGTTCACACCCATCCAGACCCTCACATCTTCCAGGCACCGGCACATCACGTCGACTGCTTCACTGAAAGGACACGGGGTGGAGATATATAATTGGGTATCATCCGCGTACTGATGATACCTCACCCCGTGTCGCCGAATGATCTCACCCAGCGGTTTCATGTAGATGTTAAAAAGGAGGGGGGACAGGACCAAGCCTTGAGGCACCCCATGATCGAGGTGCCTAGGGGTCAATCTCTGTCCGCCCGCCAACACCGACTGCGACCTGTCAGAGAGGTAGGAGGAGAACCACCGCAATACGGTGCCGCCCACTCCCACCTCTCCGAGACGACGCAGAAGGATACCATGGTCGATGGTATCGAAAGCCGCTGAGAGGTCAAGAAGCACCAGGATAGAGGAATAACCACTATCCCGGACTCGCCAGAGGTCATTGGTCAGTGTGACCAAAGCAGTCTCAGTGCTGTAGCCGGGCCTGAAACCAGATTGAAAAGGGTCCAGATAATTGGTTTCATCCAAGGATCGCAAGAGTTGAGACGCCACCACCTTCTCTACAACCTTCTCCACAAAGGGGAGGTTGGAGACGGGACGAAAGTTCTTCAAAACAGCTGGGTCCAGGGAAGGCTTCTTGAGGAGGGGCCTCACCACCGCTTCCTTTAAAGGTTGTGGTGCTGCCACCAGTTCAGCTCATTCCCCTCTCCCGCTACCACTTTTCTAGGATGGTTGCATACCACCTGCCAGGTGCCAATGTACCACAGGTGGTACCCGTACCACTGGTTGAAAAGCCCTGCCTTAGAGTTCTTTTTTTCCAACCCCCTGCTCAAATAAGAGTCCTCATTCCATCCTATACAAATGTTATCCAATCTCTTCTCAAAAACGTCCGGTGATGAAGCACCCACAACTTCTGGAAACAAGCCATTCCTTGGATTAATTATTCTCACTGTCAGGAAATTTCTTCTTAGTTCCAGGTTAGATTTCTCTGTAATGATCTTCCACCAGTGGCTTCTTGTCCTGCCCTCAAGTGCTTTGGAGAATAGGTTGGCCTCTTCTTGTCTGTGACAGCTCCTCAGCTATCATGTCATCCCTAGTCCTTCTCTTCATAAGGGGGTGTGATGGCTCAGCAGTTAAGATGCTGAGTTTGTCAGCTAGAAAGCTGACAGCCCAGCCTTGCAAGATAATCCAGGCAAGAAACAAACCCAGAAATATTCTTTCTACTTTTTTGTAAGGTTACATTAATAGAATCTTTCAAGCCTCAAAGTACATTTCTCTGTCACCTTTACAGCACCGCCCCCCCCCACACTAGGGGGGATCCTTTCTGAGATATTTCCCATGGCCACATTCTTTCTGTGGCTAAGCAGCCACTTATCCAAACATTGCCCTTACTGCAGTTCTTTCCTATTCATTCCACGTTATCTTTTTCTTCACAGGAAGATTAGAATGATTAGAATCAATTCATAATCCCTTTTTGATAAAAAGATTTGATTTTTGCCTGCTTTTACAAAAGCAACACCCTCCTTGCCATGTACCCCAGCTTTTAAAAAGCTGTTTCTTTTTCTTCCAATCATCTGCAGTTATAAAATGTTTTCTCTGCAACCATCGTTGCAGCTCTTGAGGAAAACAGCTGCCCACAATATTACAGCCATGCCAGCTTCAGAACTTTCATTGACAATTTAAATGCAGGAAACATGCCATAACAAGACAGTTATCTTCTCATACCAATCTCGTGTAATTATTGTAGATTGTTCAAATGTATTTAAGATTTACTGAGAACAGAGGAGGCTGTTTCCATTTTGTTTAAGGGGGAGTGAGAACCTTTTTGGTGACTCTCTCAAGCAAATCAATAACTAAATGATTACTTTGCAATCTTTATTGATCAGGCTACTGCAGGAGCTTATTGGCTTATGGTATTCTCAGCCTTCTCTCAGTGCTTTCATCTTCAAAAAAATTAAGACAATTTTGGTACCCACTTCAAAATTCTGTTGGGAGGTTTTGATGACTTTAGTTTTCTTCTGTAATAACAAACTTTTTTCCCCATTAGGGTGATCCAGGAAATAACGGTGATTTGGGAGCAGTGGGACCAAGGGTAAGTGAGCTGAAATATGTTCCTTAACTGACAGTATGCAAAATAACTCCCTTGAGGCAAAGAGATTAAGTCATTATTTTCAGGTCTGGTTATATAATCTATATCAATGTTTCTCAATGTTGGCAGATGTGGGACCTCAGTTCCCAGAATTCCTCAGCCTTTATACTTTGCTTTATACAGTGCTGGATGGGGAATTCTGGGAGTTGACCAACACTGATCTAGACTTATAAGATCCACTTCAATAATGCATTGAAAAAAGTGAGTAGTGATAACATGTATTCTAACAGCACTGAAGTATTAATATGCATCCTCCAATAGACAGTTCTTTCACATTTAATAATCATTATTTAATAAATAATCATTATTCATTAACACATAGCATATAGATATACTGATTCTCACAAATATTTGTCTACTATTATTAATAATAATTTATTAAATGAATGTTGCCTGACTCTAAATGATTTGGTATTGTTTTTAAACATAGCACCTACTACAATTTACACATCTACAACCTTGTGCATTAAATAACTGATATATGAAACTAAGTTACATACATATACTCATAGACTATAAAATAGATTGGAAATCTTTTTCTCTCTCAAAAAAAAACAAGAAAAAAGAAATGGTGATTAGATATAACTGGAGTTGCATTCTAGAGTTTTAAAAACTAATATTGATATGATTGGGATTAGATTTAACATGTGCTAATAGTCCAATAAATATCAATAATCTGTGCTTTGCTGATGACACTATAGCTGTGAAAATACACAGCAGCTGAGACCATCCACTTTGCTACTGGTGATCTTCTTTTTCCCTTCTTCCATCTTTTCCAGCATTATAGATTTCTCAAGAAAGTGGGTTAATTGTACAATGTATTCAAAGTATACAATAAAAATTACAAAGAAACTCATTGTAAATGTAGAGCAGACTAAGCTAATGACAACAGGTATAGCAACCATATTTAGAGCTCACAAAGACACTGAAATAATTATAATTTCTACCATTTTTGATAGACTATCAACAAAAATGGAATCAGTTGTCAAAAAACAGTTTGAACACATTGTGCAAAGACAATCTCTGCTGGGAAAAAGAATGAGTGCTAAATTAGGAAATAGGTGGAAATAGGAATACATTAATGTTCATATACTAGTGGAATGAAGTGTAATAAGTTATACTTGCAAAGCGAGGCTAGGAAAATGAAATTGTTTTTACTGCATTCATTAACATTTTGTTATGTGGGTTTGTGACAAATGCGACATGTTTGTACATTTCCAGTGCTTTTTTTATAGGGTCCACCTGGAGAAAAAGGTGACCAAGGTGCCACAGAAATTATTGATTTCAATGGAAATATTCATGAAGCTTTACAGGTTTGTAACTAATATACAATAAATATGCTGTTGCTCATATGTTACCAGTATAACTGAGCAATAAAGCATATACTTTGCATATATATGATCCCTGGTTTAATTCCACCATAACAGAACTTGGAAATGTTGATAATAAATAGTAGGTGTGATTCAATGGGTAAATGTATTTTTAGAAAACACCATGTACAATGATTATCTGGAACAGATTATCCTTAATCTATTGTTCCTTGGATGTATTTGACACATCAACATATACATTTTCTAGGTAATATTGATATTGGCTGGGAGTTCTAGTTCCAACTTTTAGGAAGGTACCAAATTAGGGAAGCCTGATCTGGAATCTTACTTGTTTGCATTCTTCCATGATAGCATTAAATAAATGATTGCTTTCCATGATAGCATTAAATAAATGATTGCTTTTGTAAGATCTTTGCTTACAATTTATGGTTAATAAGATGATAGAATATATTTCAATATTAAATATTTGCATTGAGTTAATCCAAAATGTCATAACAGGGAGCAGCAGCTAATTAATCATATATTAGTTTGGGGGAAGCTAAGTAGGGTCAGATTCAGTTAGTATTTAGATGGGAATACTAACTACTAGGGCTATAAACTAATTTGGGAAGTTAAACAAAAAAACAAAAAAAATGGTAAGCAAATTCTGTACTATCATTAAGAAAAAAGGAGTCAGATACAAATCAATGGGTATCTTTCCCCTTGCTTTTTTCTATCATCCAAAATAGTTCACAAACATGTATATTTCAAATGAAGTTATTTTAATATAGGACAAATGACTACATGGGACAATTCTTATAATGTAGTCATATATCTATCTACTGAAAAAAATGTCTCATTATATAGATATACTGTATGTTTGCAAACTTAGTTACTTTTGCCAATATTGTATAAGATTCATCCTTACCTTTTTTCAAGGACTTTTTCAAAGAACTTTTCAAGCTGTATAGAAGTTAATTTTGATTCCTGTGGATGGTGCTTAGCGCAGTAAACAAAAGACTCACTATAGAGATCAATCACTAACTTTCCTTTCTGAAGATGAAAGTTATAAGTTATAGCAAGATTTTTTTGCATGAAACCTACATTCCATAATCTTTACAGAATAAAAAACTTTCATCATTGAAAAGTACAAAGTATTTAATGTCTACATACAAAATATAAGATAAATACATGAGCAGCAGTCAAAATACTACAGAAATAAACATTTAAAAATAATATTCTTACTTTCCAGTAACCTTCAAAACACTGAAAAAATGAACATTTAAAATAAATCCTTTTACTGGTGATAAAATAATATATAACTACAAATAGGATTTTCATCCAAAATACAGGAATTAATGTACTCCATCTATATAAGTAAGACGTTTTCCTCATGCTGATTGTTTAGACATGGTTATAAATGATTAAATTAAGCATTTAAGTAAAATTTAAAGTTACTTTTTGATAAATGCTAAAACATGTTCTGCACATCTTTTGGAAGTCACAGAAATTACTTTATTTGAAACCATGTCATGATCAGATATAAGGAAATATTTCTTTTAGTTAAATTTTGATCATAATTCTTTATTTATATGAATTTTATTTGATCTTGCTCTATTGAGATCATTACTATTTGAGATATTTCAGCATTGTATAGTTTGTTCATATAAATATCATCCAGTTTAAGTCACACATCATTAAATAATTATAGTCACTTAATTATTTATAATTCCACAGATGCTTATAGAGCATTATTTGTGAGTTTACAAAAATTGATCTTAAAATCATTATAATATAATAGGAAACTGACAGCACTGTTTCTTTTTGAAAGCAAACAAAGTAATTCAAAGTAAGTACCTTAATACATGGATTGTTAAGTATAATTACTTAGATGTAAAGATGTAAGAGTAATCTTTTATTTTCGGGGAGCTAGTCAAATGCTTCTCTTAAGCTTTCCTCAATTTTGTGAAGTCTGTTTCTAAACAAGCAAAGTATTCTATTTCAAACTGAACATCTGGTAACATTATTTTCTGCTAATATATTTTGCCAACAGAGGATTACCACCTTAACTGTCACGGTAATTCCTATTGCATGACGGTGTTTTGTTTTTTTCTGTGGTGTTGCATGTTTAGAGTTATTCTGATTTATAAATGTGTCTTTGTCCACCAGATATTAATTTTGCATTATCAGCACCTCTATTTTCTAAATCAGGTGTATCAGTGGAAAGTTAGGACTCTAGTTTTACTACTTATAGTAATTAATAGAAGCAGTATGGCCATTTCAGCAAAAAAAAAAAAAAAAGTAGGGATTCAAGCTTTCTTTTTTTAAAAAAATGTTTTATTGATTCAAGCTTTCATTAGCATTGTAAAATTTGTTTAACCATGTTTATTAAAACCAGGCATTGGTGCAATTTTCAGTGGGAATTTTAAAATGCAGTAACTTAAAAAGGGATTGATTTTTCCTGTAACTTACTTTCCTGAATTATTTTTTTTTAAAAAAAAATCATATTGGTTGTGTTAGAAGATACATCACAAGTTTGCTTCAAAATTATATTTATTTCATCCAGTATAATTTATATATATTTAAGTGCCATTAATAAATAATTTTTGAACACAGTTGGATGAAATTTCAGTACGTCTGCCTTTTAAAAATATTCCTTTTCTATTCAGAATCAATAACGACTAAAAGGGAATACTTGTATTATTTCAAAATGTGTAATATAATATTAACATACATTGAAACCTAACTAGCTGAAAACATCCCTGAGTCTCAATTTTTTTGAATTTTCCCATTGGCCTTCTTTACCTCTACTCTCATAAATTTACAGGTAAAGCAAGTTAATATAGAAGTCAGCCAAAGATAGATAAACAATGGTATTTCCAGGAAATATACTTGTTAAGGTGCTGAATTAGAAAATTGGGAAATCATGAGTTTTAGCTATCCTTAGGTATAGACTTTTGGATTCTTTCAGCCCAAGTCCTCTTAAAGAGTTGTAATGAAATAGGAAGTGGGAGTATTATCTACAACACCTAGAGTTGTACAAAATAAATACAGGTTAAGGTTATTATAATAATAATAATATTTGTGGGGTTTTGTTTTTTATAATTCATATAAGATAATTAAGTGTTAGTAATATTTCAATGAAACTTTTGCTTTATTTTATTTGTTATAGAAACTTTTATATAAATAGATTTTTCTTTGTTCGTTAGTTCATTACTATATTGCAATCAGCATGAAATACCTATATGCTAAATTAGTATTGGAAGAAAAAAAGGTAGCTCAATGACAGCTTGTATTATTACTTTGATTTACTGTATACTTACATTAAATTGTGTGGCATAATGTCTCAAGGGCAATTCTTATTCTTCTGGTCTTTACTGCTTATCACATAGCAAAGCAGAGAAGATCTCTGACTAAAATCATGTAGATCAAAGGCTGGCAGCATCATAGTATCTGCATAGCCCAACTTGGCCTCAAATATCTTAATTGTTGTGATCAGACCCCCATAACAAAACAAGCTAGATTTTTGTCTTGTTATTTCTATTTTTGGGAGTTTACCTTCTGTCAATGTCACTCATCCCAGCTCTTGACAGGAAATTGAGGTGTGTGACTTTTTAAAAATAAAAAAATCAAACTTTAAGGATGACCTTTTTGAATAGATGCTATTAAAACTCTGCAGAGACTGGGCAATTTGTTTTGCAGTTATACCCTGGGGTTTGGAAAGTAGTTGTGAACCTACCATTAACAGCCAACCAGACCATATTTTACCCTGCTATAAGGCAGCCAAATAACCAAGCCTTTTTCAATGAAACTCCATACAGATTTGTTTTATCCAAGACTTAGTTACAAGATTTACAATTATACAAGTTTGCTAGTTCGAAGTATGCAGAGAGAAGGGCAATAATCTTGTAGTTTTCCTCTCTCAGTATTTTCTGCATAATTTTCTGGTACTAGGGACTCAGTCATCTTTGAAATGAGATTATAGTCTTCTCAACTAGGATTCCATGAGTCTCTAAGCTCCACAGAAGCTCACTAGGAGTTCTGCAAGAGATCATGATTGAATATATATATATATATATATATATATATATATATATATATATATATATATATATATATAAAACACTGCATGCCATTAATTCTAGTGCTCACAGTGATTGGAATTTTTATGTGCCAGGATTCAGCCTATTGCTTTGCTAGTGTTGTACATGTTGTAAAGCAGATTTCATCACTGCTGTTTAATAATATCATTCTAATATTTAATTGTAACACATTTTGCCTGTCTATCTGTATATGGTCATCAATTGTCATTGGTGTTGTTAGTCCTTGACTGTTTTAATGCAGTTTTCTTGTTGTGATGCTTATTTTGCGTAACATATTAAAATATGTTTCAGAAAAAAGTTTAATGAATGTATGGAGTGGATACTGCAATAAAGTGAATTAATTTTATATTTAGGGTCCTCCAGGCCCACCTGGACTCCAAGGATTGCAAGGATCAAAGGTGAGCATATCAATTGTATTTGTGTGATTATCAGTACATTATGTATTTGATATAATTAATAATGACATGAAAGTCTCTATCACTGTGTGCTTTGAAGATCTTATGATACTAAGATGATTCAAGTAAAAATATTTAGTTCAACAATAATAAATTATTGTATAACAACTAAGTTTTTTCAACAAATTTAACAAAATGATCATAACATAATTTTCTTACGTTATTCTTGAAGTGCTTTAAAAGAATTTTAAATACCAAACACTTGTGAAGCAAGATTATATAATCTATTATTCATGGGAATACTATTTAGGGAAGAATTTCTTGGTATCCCAAAGATTATAGACCTGTCCATTTGTTCTTGGTCTTTTGTGAAGCCATTAGAGAGAGAAACTTTGTTGAACCACATCAAGAGCTAGTGAGGATGATGATGATCGTTGTTGTTGTTGTTGCTTGTTTCAAGAAAGCATATTTGGAATTGAATCGGAATTCCTAGTTCAAACTAAATGACAACATTTCAAGAGCTGAAGTAGGTGCCTTTGATATGTTCCTTGTAAGAGGAGAAGGCACATGGATCAAGCAGACTTATTTATTTAGTATTAAATTACATTATATTCCAAATAATAATACCACAGTGGACTTAAGTTGGAGCTGGATTTTATTTTGCAGGGTGAACCTGGATCACCAGGATTATCTGGTGCTGATGGGGAGCAGGTACTTGAACATGTCTTCATGATATTACTATTGATAAAGGAATATGATATGATAATGGTTCACCAAAAACTGAATATAAAGGAAGAGAGGGAGGGAGGAGGAAGGAAATACTGCTATCCTTAAATAATAAAAAATATTGCCAGATATTAATGTAATTACATTTTTTACTTCTGAAGTTAATGCATTGGTTTAGTTCATGTTGATTTACATTGTTAGCATAATGCACATTTCATAGTCATAAATATGCTATTTCAGGGACCCAAAGGTTCAAAGGGTGATCTGGGTGACCCAGGAATACCAGGAGAAAAAGGGGGTATTGGACTTCCAGGTTTGCCAGTAAGTTTGTTTAAAATTGTCTTTGATAGCAACATTTCTCACTACTGCTTCAGTATCTTTTTCTCAAGGACAATCATATTGTTTTTATTTTAGAACATGTTACTTGGTGCTATGCAAAAAGATTTGCATGAAGGAAGTACAGCAATGGAAGACAGGGGGAGAAAAGAGTGGTAGTTTTAATTAATTTCAAATGAGGCTTAGCAGAACCAAAAGAAATGACAGTTTTGAGGAAAACTTTGAAAGAAGAGAAGAAATAACGGGGTTTTTTGTGGAAGGAATCCCAAGTGTATGTAAATAAAATTCTCCTGCAAAATCAAAAAGGTATAGAAATAATAAATCATTCTTGATTCATCTTCCTTTGGAAAACTTTCAATCAACTACTTTGATGGCAAATCAATTAACTGTGTTTTAACTCCAAGATAAGATAAAGCTAACTAGCAAAATTTCAAATAAATATATTAATTAAACTTAGTGGGAGGTGAACTCTTTACAGGATAAAGCAGTATAGGAATAGCTTAAAATGCAATATTATTTGTAAGTGTGTTATTCTTCATGTTAACTTAAATATATTCATTTGCCATTCTACCTGGGTAAACACTGTTGATTTTAGCTCATTATACTGTGCCACAGAGTATTTAAAGTATTCTCCTTCCCTCCATCTCTCTCTCCCTCCCTCCCTCTTTCTTTTTCTCCTTTCCTTCTTACTTATAGTGTATTATTAATAGCCTGACCAGGCGATAGCATTCCTGTGAAAACATTTCCACATTATCAGGCATCTTTAGGTTCTTACTGTATAAGTAAAATGAAAGCAGCTGTGTATAACATCCCACTGAGCAGATAAAGAATTGAAAACACTGCTGGCTTGTTTTTGGGCAGTTATTTTTCTTCTCAAGTGTACTACTCTCACAAAGGTGATGATACATTTCATACATTTAAAGTTCATATCAACTGCAGGAAATCAGGAGTCAGAGGTTCAAATGAATACTTGTTTATTGCTCGCTAAAACTCTTTATAAGAATCTGAACTACTAATGGTTAAAACAAATTGGGGGTAGATAAGAGTCAATAGAATTCAAGCTGGGATGGATTTAGATCTCTAGTAGGTGTGAAGGAATTCAAAACTGATAACATGATTGACCCCTTCTTTGGTCAGCCTGGTCATCTCCTACAGTTCAATGTTAAACTCAATTCAAACTCAAACAAAAAAGCAATATTTAAATAAATCTGACAATATTTTTCTTGTAACTAAACTTCTTTAACATAGTAGGTGTGTTTCAAGTTTCTACAAGTTAGCTTGAAAAAATACAGCAGAATATAATACAAGTATTGCATCCAAATAATTCCACATTCAGTTCCTGCTATCTCCAAGGGGTATGGAAGAACCCAGTCTAAAACTCTGGATCGCCATTATTGGTCACTGTAGAATCATTCTCTCAACCTGATGCCTTGGCTGACAAAGATCCAACACTACATGGCATGTTCTGAATATCAGAATTGTTTTGAACATCAAAATATAAGGGACACCCTCTTCACAATTATGACTATTGTGGATATGCCAAATACACAGACATATTCAATGTTAGGCATACTGAGGATATTTGTAACTAATTTTCAACACATCAAATCCTGTAGGAACACCTAAAAAACCTTTTGATCACATCACTTGAGTTGCACCTGACATCTTGAAATAATTGAAGTTGGTACCCAGCACAGATTCAGCCAGCCCAAAGATGGTTCAGATACTTTGGATTGAATTTATCTGGTTGGAATAGGAGGCTAAATAACAATATAAGACAAATTAGGTCTTATAATTAAATATGTAAAGTCATGTTTTATTGCATAAAAATTCATCAGCCAATAAGATGAAAGTATTTATAATAATACCATAACATTTTTGTAGGGATCCAATGGAATGAAAGGAGAAAAAGGAGATGTTGGATTACCAGGTTCTCAAGGTCCCTCTGTAAGTCTTGCTATATTTTTTCAGTGTTCCTGTAAAATAATCTTTTGGTTTTCTAACCAGTTGTCGTTTAATGGCTGCCCTATTTAGTGACCATTTGAAATTATGCTGAAAAAATAATTTAATGACCAATGTTTGCATTTATGATCATCGAAGCATCCCCACTATCATGTAATTGAGATTTGGCTGCTTCAAAGCCAACAGGCATTTACAACCAAAGCACTATCCCCCAATCACATGATTTAAATAGCCACCTGCTTTTTAACCAACTCTGAGCAGCTCCCAATCAGAAATTAAAACAACATAATATCATATTAAAACTATGAAACTGAACCAATCAAAACATTAAAAGCAACATGATTGTCATATATGGGCTTCATAGCCATCTCGCAGAATCAGTGGAGAAATGTGAAGTAAAAATGAGGAGTCGTGGTCACATGAAGTCTTGCTTAATGACCATGGGTGATTCGCTGTATGATTGTGGTACAAGGGACATAGGTTTTGCTTAATGATTTTTATTTTGATTTGCAAACTGCCCTGGGCTTTAGGAAGGGTGATACAGAAGTGAAATAAAAAAACAATAAACACAACATGCTCTAACAAAGGGTAACACCAGTAGCACATCCAAGGGATTACAGCTAATTGCATGGTCCCAGCAGATCAGTCAACTGTGTCTGTTAAAATGATAAACTTATTTTCTAAATATATATATATATTTATATGCATATACTTTACGCAGCTCATAGGTCCTCCAGGTTCTCCTGGTCCACACGGTCCACCAGGACCTATGGTAAGTATTTTTAGCCATTTATCTATTGTGTGGTTCATGAATTAAAGCAATCTATCAGTGTTTCATATCCTTGAAAGCCTAGATGTCCACATAACAAAACCTAATGTTTTCAGGAGCTCTTAGTATAGAAGAAATTGGGGGAAAACAAAAAAAAGTTCAGGTAGTATCAAATATTTTTCTAATGAATTGTAATATAGGCAGAAATGTGAAAGAGTAATTTTGCAAAGGTGCTTTTGACTATATAAATGTAAGTAACAAGATCCTATTGATTCTGCTTGTTATCAGTGTTTTTTATATATTTTCAAAATATGTAAAAACATCAAAAACATTTTGGAGTTGAAAATCGATAGAGGCTTTTAATTTGCTAGACTTGGCTTGACTTTTGTTAAATAATTAAGAGATATTACTCAATGCAGTTTTGCCCAGCCATCCCTTCCTAAGTCATACACATGGACACAACCACATGCATACACACTGAGAGAGCTCCTCTAATATAATATATAGAAACAATATAGAAATGCATCCTGTAATTGTTATTTTTTAATTTATTTTTAGGGACCTCATGGACTCCCAGGGCCAAAGGTAAAGAATTTAGTCCACAACTAAAATAATTTTCCTAATTTGTCATGCTGTCATTCTCATTAATCATGTTGAGGCATGCACTTAAAATTTGTCCTTGTCTCATTTTTTCTGTGATTTTTTTTTAATATTCGTAAACCTTTAAGCATCTGCTTAAAATAAAATGTCAAAACGTATATAAGGATTTATGGCAATTTCCTGTGTCTGTTCCACATCAATGTAAGCTAAATTAGCTTTCTATAATGTTAATTATGGAGAGCCACTATTAAAATTTAGTTGTCTGGTGATAGTTTCAAACTATGACATTTGGAACTACCTTACAGAAAAGTTTAAGAAAACAGAGGACGAGTGTTTATGTACTTAAGAAGTTTTTTTAAAAAATATTTTCTTCTTCACTGCTGTCTTTCAGTCTTCTAATCAAGCTCATTTCTTCTCTTAAATTAATATGTTCTTTTGAATTATTTTGCCCATATCTTTGTATTTGAAAATCCATGTTCCTAACAATACCAGTCAAAAATCCACCCTTGCGGTTCAAAGTATTATATAAAATATATGGAAATTTAAATGTGCATGCAAACACATTGTTCAATATTTATCCACTTCAAAAAGAATAATTAAAGCCCTAATATACTTTAATGCTATTTGCATTTATTATTGCTATTATTATTGCTATTATTGATTATTATTTCTACTATTATGATTATTATTATTTTGTGTATGTATGTGTGTGTGTGTGTGTGTGTGTGTGTGTATATATATATATATATATATATAATAATATATATATTTGTTTTCTGATGGTTTTCGCGGTGTTTGTATTAGTCTTTGTTGTTCGGGTGTTTTTCCCTCCCGCGTAAAATTGGAAGTGTCTTGGAGACGTTTCGACGAAGCCCCATTCGTCATCTTCAGGCTGGTGTTTTCAGCTTCGTGCTTTGAGCAGCAATGTGTGGTCTTAGCTGTTTCTTCCTTTTAACTGCCAGTGGGGGTATGAACTGATTGGGTGGGAGCTTGGCTGTGTTCTGATTGGGTGGAGGTGTGTTCTGGATGGTTAGGGGCTTGGCTGTGCTCTGATTGCTGGGGGAGTGTTCTTTTGGTTGTGCTCAGGTTAGTCTGAGTTGCAGAGGGTTTAAGATTTTGGGCTGCCTTGCTATTTTTTGGCTTCGCGTTCGTGGTCATGCCTCCTCTTCATGGAGGGTGTCAGTTTGCTTCATGTATGGATTGGAGGGGTTTAAAGTGGCTAATGATGCAGCTGTGGTCTGGCTTCTGTTTGTGGTCGTGCCTCGTCATCGGTGTGGCTTTGGGTTTGTTTTTTGCGTGGATGTGTGGTGGTGACCTCCTGTGTGGTTTTTGTGAGTGTGGGTCTGGTATCATTTTTTGTGTTAGGGAGTCGTTTGTCAATGAGGGCGGGTTTCCAAATTGCTGGTAGGCGGGAGGTATCATCTCGCTTGTTCATGCTGTGTGGGCGTTTTTATCTCGATGGCTTCTCTGATTTTCTGTTATTAAAATGTTCACTTTTTGGCGATGGTTCTGGTATTTTTAAGTCAATTCCATGTCAGTTGGTTGTTAGCCTTCTGTTTCCATGGGTGAACTGGTATTTTGGGTGTAGGGCTGTTAGGTGTGTGAGAATTGTCCGTTTTTGGCCACATGTGAAGACAAACTGGCAACTTCCATCAACCACCTCAACAGCCTACACCCAATACAGTTTCACCATGGAACCGAAGCCTACAACCAACTTCCCTTCCTGGTGTCTTAGTCTACAAGAAATCCAATGGCTCCCTAGACACACCATCTACCAGAAGAAAACACACACAAACCGTTATCTGCACGCTCTCTCACACCACCACCCAGCACAGATCAACTCTGTAGCCAAGACACTCATCTCCAGAACAAAACGCTTAGCTGACGAACAACACCTAAAACCCGAACTACACACCCTCACCAATGTACTAACATCCAATGGATTCCATAGAAATAAGATTACAAACCTAATCCAAAAAGAACCCCCCACTAAAATCCAAGACAAAGAACAAGAAAACGGCAAAGCCCTCCTCCCATACATAAAAGGCACCACAGACAGAATCAGTAAGATCCTCCCTAAACACCACATCAAAACAGCATTCTGCACAAACAGAAAAATATCCACCATCCTTAGAAACCCCAAAGATAAAATTGAATTAGAAAATCAAGGAGTATACGAAATCCCATGCACCACTTGTCCCACCACATACATCGGACAAACCAACAGACGAATAAGTGCACGCATTGAAGACCATAAGAACTCAGTCAAAAAAGAGGAACCAACGATCTTCCTGGTCCAACGCCTAAAAGGCACAGGACATGAAATTTGACTTTACAAAATACCAAACCTGCCAAAAGTGAACATTTTAATAACAGATAATCAGAGAAGCCATCGAGATAGAAAAACTGCACACGCATTAACAAGCGGATGATACCTCCTGCCTACCACCAGTTGGAAACCCGCCCCTTATTGACAAACGACTCCCTAACACAAAAAATGATACCAGACCCACACTCACAAAAACCACACAGGATGTCACCACCAAACATCCACGCAAAAAACAAACCAAAAGCCACACTGACTATGAGGCACGACCACAAACCAGAAGCCAGACCACAGCTGCATCATTAGCCACTTTAAACCCCCCCAATCCATACATGAAGCAAACTGACACCCTCCAGGAAGAGGAAGCACGACCACGAACGCGAAGCCAAGGAATGGCAGGGCAGCCCAAAATCTTGAATCCCTCTGCAACTCAGACTAACCTGAGCACAACCAAACAGAACACTCCCACAGCCAATCAGAGCACAGCCAACCCCCCAGCCAATCAGAGCACAGCCAAGCCCCTAACCAATCAGAACACACCTCCACCCAATCAGAACACAGCCAAGCTCCCACCCAATCCGTTCATACCCCCACTGGCAGTTAAAAGGAAGAAACAGCTAAGACCACACATTGCTGCTCAAAGCACGAAGCTGAAAACACCAGCCTGAAGATGACGAATGGGACTTCGTCGAAGCGTCGCCAAGACACTTCCAATTTTACACGGGAGAAAACCCGAACAACCAAAGACCTACATATATATATATATATATATATATATATATATATATACACACACACACACACACACACACACACACACACACACACACACATACAGTACATACATACATACATAGTAAAAAACAAAATCAAGATAAATTGTATGCTACTTTTTTAGAATCTGGAAAACATAAAATTCTATGGTCAAAACCTATAAATTAAACAAAAATAATGTACATATATCCTCTTTAGAAATGCCATGGAATTTTATTTAGCAGAGGTAGTGAATTATTTTTACATTTAAATTCTTTGTAAGAATTGGGAAAATTCATTGGAAATTATCCTGTTTTTTTAAAAAAAAATTATAAATGTTGGTACAATTAGAAATATCTAGATTTTTTCAGGGCAAAAGAGTTCCCTTATGAAAGAATTTCAGAAATGTTTACTTTGGTTGTCAGTAAGCATTTAATTACTTTTGGGGTAACTGTTACATTGTGGTCATTAGAAAGGATAAGCCAATGTATCACAGTCTTCCTCTGTTTAATTTATGATAGCCATACTTAAAGGTTTGGAATATGTTTTCATTAAATAATGCATATTTTAGTTCGCTATCTGAAGAAAAAGCCAGTTAAGGCAATGTATAAAAAAAAATACTTTGTAATTCTGATTGATCAAATCACATTCACATTTTTCTGGTTTCATTAATTTTATTGAAAGCCTGCAAGATTATGAATGGATTTGGAATACATTTGCCATAAGCAACATGACAGTAAAATCATATTGTTCCAAATTATTCAGAAACATTTCAAGATGTATGTTTCAAACATGCAAGTTTATATAGATAGTTTTATGCTATCTACTCTAATAGGAGTCATGACTATTTCTACACCATTTTTTTATGATCTAGCAATGAGATGATCTATTTTGATAAACATAACCACTTAAGTTGGAAAACTGGATTTACATTCATATCCTTCACTGGCTGTCTTCTGTCCCAGCTTGAGTATCCGTGTCAGCATCTTCACAAAATAGCATTTATACTTTTATATTTAGGGTGAACCAGGGTTAAATGGTCTTAAAGGATTGAAGGGTGAACCAGGTCACAAGGGTGACAGAGGGCCCCTTGGTCTCCCAGTAAGTAAAATACTTCCATTTCAGTGCAGATTACAAACTTCTCGTTCTACTTTCAGCCCAAAACTCTGGTTTACTCAATAGCAAATATAAAGCTATCTCATGCTGAAGTGGTGTCTTTTTTCTTAATTAAGTCTAATCTTGTATCATCCCATAATAAATGGTTTTGTTATTTGTTGCTTTTATATTGTTATTTATTTGTCAGTTGGCAACATTAATTAAAATTGTGACTTTATACCATTAATTATGCCATTATTTAAGTGTTGTGTAATGTTTTGCTTAAATATTAACCATTGTCCACACAAAGATTGTCCATACGCTAACTATAGATTTTTGTTTAAGCAGAGTGGTTGTAATTATA